ACTCTTTCCTGCCTATGCAGGGGGTCGGACTCGATGATCTATAGAGGTCCCTTCCGACCCTAACATCTATGAATCTATGAATCTATGAATGACAGGCTCAGGAAATGGGCAGACGAGAACCTGATGGTGTTTAACAACGAAAAATGCAAGGTTCTCCACCTTGGGAAGAAAAACCTGCAGCATCTTTATAGGCTCGGCTTTATATGGATGAAAGGGACTTGCGAGTCATGATTGACTACAAGATGAACATGAGCCTGCAATGTGATACTGCTGCTAGTAAGCAAGCAAAATGCTTGCTTGCATTCATAGATGCTTCTCAAGTAAATCCCTGGATGTCGTTCTCCCATTGTACTCGGCTTTGGTGAGGCCACAGCTGGAGTACTGCATCCAGTTTTGGGTTCCACAATTCAAAAAGGATGTGGAGAAGCTTGAGAGGGTGCAGAGGAGAACCACATGCATGATCAGAGGCCAGGAAAGCAGACCTTATGAAGAGAGGCTGAGAGCCATGGGACTCTTCAGCCTGGAAAAGCTCAGACTCAGGGGTGATCTGGTGGCCCAGCAGGGGTGCTTACCAGGATCTGGGGGAACATCTGTTCACCAGAGCTCCCCAAAGGATGACAAGGTCAAATGGTCACAAACTCCTCCATGACCGTTTCAGGCTGGACATAAGGAAAAACTTTACTGTCCGAGCCCCCAAGGTTTGGAATAGATTGCCACTGGAGGTGGTTCAAGCACCTATCTGAACGCCTTCAAAAGACATCTGGATGTTTATCTTGCTGGGATCCTATGATCCTTGCTGACTTCCTGCCCCTGGGGCAGGGGGTTGGACTTGATGATCTTTCGAGGTCTCTTCCAGTCCCTAATGTCTATGAATCTTACTAAAGGACTCCTTACTAAATACTCACTCTTTCAGAACAAACTGCACAGCGGAGCGGACTGTATACTAGCCTTTACAATAGAAGAAGTTCCCAATCTAAGACTGCTCAGAAATATCCCCACTTTTAGGAGGAGATCATCTCTCCTAGGTATCAGATATTTTTAGTCCCTTAACAAATGTTTAAAATGAGTCTGTCAGTCAGTTTGTGCCTCTAATCTCATTTGGGGTCATAATCTTTATATGATCTTGGACAAAAGTTCAATAAACCAATTTAATCTAAATCAGTTAAGTCTCATACTACATCTATTCAAATTTATCTTGAACTAGTTTTGGCCACTTTGAAAGCAGTTTATGTGCACTGAGCTTCTGTTGTGTTAGAGGTTTGAACAGGTTTCTGATCACTTATACCAGTTTATGTGTAACTTCTATCCCTCGCCTATAAATCCGTGATGGCTAGAAAGGAATTCATAAGACAAGTTTTTCTTTTAAAATAATTGTCTTTAGCTCTGAGAGATCAAACACAGTAACACACTGACCTATTTAAGTGAAGCAGTTCACTTTCCTTTCCCTGTACTCTACAGCTTGTTCCTAAATCAATGCAACACACTTTCCTTTAAGGGGTCATATAACAAGCCATGGCTTTTTCTGTACAGCTGTTATTAACACACTGTTAGAAACATGGTTTGAATAAGAAAGATGCTTAAAGCAACAGAGAAAACAGATCTCCCTAGAGCAGTCTCAACCCAGGCAGCATGCTTGTCTTCCTGTGTGTAGAGGCATTTTATTTTACCTGTTCTGTTTAAGAGATATAGTATCCATGCATCTCTATGCGATGAAAAATTAGCACCAGCCTATATATCAAAACATGCTACACTTCAGGGAATCAGTATACCAGACAAGCCAGGCAGGTCCTGGCGTCTGAGTCCTTTTTTCTCAGTAGGCCTACACTGGATAAAATGACTGCTAGAACCTGCAATTAGTGCTCCTCCAACATCACTATTAATAATAGCTATAGGCCATATTCTGAGTCTGTGTGAACTGATGTAGTATTGCTGAAGTCCTAGGAGCTATGCTATGTTGATTTTCATTGGCTGGGATTCTGATCATACATTTTGAGATTACTAAAATTAATGAATGGTTCAGCAAGGAGAAGCGAATTCATATTTCAGTGACTTGCATGGTAAAGTGGTGACAGATGAGGATCAGAATGCAAATCCACTCTTCCAACTGATATACATAGACGTGTGACTCTGTTTTATATTACTCTTGCTTTCTGCTCCCCTCTTTTTGTGTCCTGGGATAGCATGCTAGATCAGCCACAATAACCCTTTTCCTTCAGAAAGTTGGATGAATATAGCAATTGATCTTTTCTGCTAAAACCAGGACCCTAATGTTGTCACCACTTCCCCATAGGCAATATCATTTTTAAAATTTGCAAAGGCTACATGAGCCAAATTTGGAGATAGAGGGCATGTCTACATGTGCAACTAATGCAAAGCAATAAACTCTGGCACTTATCACACTGCAGTTTATTGTTTCCCAGGTGCTGCATTTACATGTGCACTCAGGACTGCAGCACGTTGAGCCTGCCAATCTGGGGCTGCTCCAAGCCAACATGCTTTGGAGGGGCTGGTTGGGGCACAAGGGTGCTTCAGTGTGGGGCTAGCCAACAGGCAGCCCCCACACTGAAGCACCCTCATGCCCCAGTCAGCTGCATCAGTATCTACATGCATGCTGCTATACTGTCCTGCTGCAGAGTTAGTTTACTCCTGCCTAATAGCACTGCATGTGTAGATGCGGGACACTTACTGCAGAGCTAATTAGTCAACTCCTCAGTAAGTGTCTTGTGTAGATGCGCCCACTAGGTATCATCTTAGTCTGATGCTAGTCCACCCCATATGGTACACATTGGGTACTCTGGTTGAACTGGTGCTGGTGAGGAAAAACAGATGTGACAAAAAATATTTGGGATTTGGAAAAGGAGAGGCAATCAATAACATAAAGGCCCCTTTCCCTGTGAATCCTGGGTTTTTATTTTCTCTTGAACATATTCCATAAACTGTTTTGCTGTAAAAATAATATTAATATTGGGTACAAAGGCTGTGTCTCCACAGCCTTTGATGTTTTGTTCATGAGTTATTATGGGGAAACTTAAAATGCAGCAGGCAGGCAGATCAGGGGCTTGCCCGTACCCCCAGGAGGGCTGCAGGGGCTGTGCCGGAGTCCTTCTGGGGGTGCAATCCCCCGATCTGCCTTCCAGATGAGAGAAGGCTGGTTCTGTCACCTGGGACTGGAGCCAGGAAAATCGGTGCTGCTGCTGGTCCCAGGTGGCAGCACCCAGCTCCTTTCATCCAGCAGGCAGATTGGGGGCTTACCCGCACCCCTGGGAGGGCTGCAGGGGCTGTGCCGGAGTCCTCCCTGTGGTGCATGCCCCCGATCTGCCTGCCAGGTGACAGGAGCTGGGTGCTGCCACCTGGGGCCAGCAGCAGCACCAATCTTCCTGGTGCTGGGTGTGGGCTGTGCCCAGCACCAGTCTGTCATCTGCCTGCTGGATGAAAGGAGCTGGGTGCTGCCACCTGGGGCCAGTGGGGCCAGGGCAGATCAGCTCATGCAGGGACCTGCCACCCCAATCCCAGGGTGGGGAAGGGTCCCTGCATGAGCTGATCTGCCCTGAACCCCACACCCTCCTTGAGCTAGCTCCAGTACGGGGCTGGGGCAAATCAGCTTGTGCAGGGACCTTCCCCTGCCCTGGGATTGGGGTGGCGGGTCCCTACATGAGCTGATGTGCTCCGTCCCCGCTGGCCCCAGGCAGCAACACCTGGTTCCTGTCAGGTGGCAGGCAGATTGGGGGCCTGCCGGCACCCCTGGAGGGCTGCAGGGGCTGTGCCGGAGTCCTCCCGGGTGTGCATGCCCCCGCTCTGCCTGCTGGGTGACAGGAGCCAGGTGCTGCCACCTGGGGCCAGTGGCAGCACCTATCTTCTTGGCACTGGGTGCAGGCTGTGCTCAGCGCTGGTCTGCCATCTGGCAGGCAGATCGGGGGCCCGCACCTCCAGGAAGACAGTGGCACAGCCCCCGTAGCCCTCTCAGGGATGCAGGCGAGCTCCTGATCTGCCTGCCAGATGACAGGAGGCAGACGCTGCCAGCTGGGACCGGCGCTGAAGCCAGTAAGCCTGGCTTCGAAACTCAAAATGTTTTGAGTTCCTTTGTTTCATTTCGAAGCTATTTTGAATGCTTTTGTTTCATTTCAATTTTGTTGTTTTGAGCTCAAAACACATCGAAACAGCTTTGAAACAAAACGCCGAGCGAAATTTCACGTGCTGTACTGGTCAGCATTATATTGGTCAGCATACCAGCTGCAACCTCCATCTTTAGTGTAATGCTTGAGAAGTGTCAGTTGTAAGAAAATTAGATTTTAGTTGATGGTAGAGTTTCTGTAAATTATTCAGTACTATAAAACAGCCTGTTGCTGGGAGAGAGTTGTAGCATGCTGTTTAGCTGAAAGCATAATCTTGTTTTTATGTTCAAATCTTATATAGGCAGTCTGTTTACAGTACTGCTGTCTTTAAATCCTATCAGTGTCCTAGTATAGTTCTTGAGCTGAAGAGGCAATAATATTTTGGGAATAAATGTAGTTTGGGCTTGGCTAGAGAAGCCATATTTTAATGGTTATCTTGTTTAGGTCACAAGTGGAATGACCCAGTGTGACCTCAAAGAAATTATGGTAGCTACACCATATGAAGGTTCTAGTAAGGGTTCTGTTTAAAATAAAACTAGCATCTTCTCTACTAGACTGTTAGTCCAATCCATCTGAAAAATAGCGTGCTAGTTCAGGGGCCCAGGTCAGCCTATTTTTAGGGCTTTAATGGGACTTGACTGAGACATAGGTCTTCTGCCTCTCTCCAGGGAGTTGAGTTTCACTTGTAAATGTCTGTCACAACATTTTAATGATTTATGCTAAATTGTTTGAAACTCCACTACACACTTTCTCTAACACCTATTGCTTTTGTGAAAGCTTGTGAATAATATGGCTATGCAAATTGTATCAAACCAAACATGCACTTTGAGTGTGTCTACACCATTTCCTTGGTGGTAGTCCAGGGAAGGATGCTCCTGAGCCTGTCTGACGTGCCCATTCATTCTTTCCCATGCTGAGCCTAGAACTATAGTGGTAAAGCTGCTCAGGGGAAGGAGAACTTGGGAAAGCCATACCCCTTGATTTGTAAAACTGTTTAAAAAACAATTTTAGTTTCACCAACTTCATTTCTGGTCTCTAATAATCCCAGTATGATCAATTACTATTTAAGAAGCCGAAATTTAGCCTAGTGTCCCGACCAATAGGATAAACTATTTTGTACACCTATAAATTGTTCTTATCTTAGAGGCAGTAGGAAAAACAACTCCTAATTTGTATACTAATGTATGAAATGCTGGTGGATCTTCAGGAGGGAAGGAATCACATCAGTATAAGATTATCTTTCCAAGTAACAAGATATTTTCTATTTATTTCAGAAATAACCATTTCAAAACTTACCAAACTTTGGTGTATGTGGGCAAGAAGATTAAGCTCAGCTTTTAACTAAAGAGATCTTTAACATCACCTTTTGTTCTACATTTCAGTGGCTGTTCCTGCAGCCGCAGCAGCTTGTGAACCCAAGACTAACGAGCCCTACCCAGCTCCACGTCTCTCTGTTTCTTCAAGGACAACTATGGTTGTGACCATGGAAACTGCCTCCCAGGGCTTGCAGACAGTCATGAAGTGGAAAACAGTGGTTGCCATCTTTGTTGTGGTTGTAGCTTATCTGGTAACAGGAGGGCTTGTCTTTCGTGCCCTGGAGCAGCCCTTTGAAAGCAGCCAGAAGAATACAATAGCCTTGGAAAAGGCAGACTTCCTTCGGGAACATGTTTGTGTGACCCCAGTAGAGCTGGAGACACTGATTCAGGTAAGACATATGGGGAAGACAGCAGCCCACAGCTAAAGAGGGAATATTTTCCTTTTTTTTTGGATCTTTTTCTTGTAAGTTGTGAGAAATAAGCTTGGCTTGATAAGCCGAGCCTGTGGGGTCTGGATGGCTCGTGGGTGTCTGGTAATGAGCTAGGAGGCATTATAGCTCGGAGTCCCTGTTTGAATCCTACCCTGATGAGAAGTGACAGAAAACTGTCATCTCCTGACAGCTGTTTGGTGTCTTGTGTGAAAAGAATTGGTCTCATTCCAGGTCCTAGGGGGTCCATATTGCTGAAAAGCACCATCCCAAGGGGTATCCTCAAAGGAGGCCTGAAGATTCAATGGCCACAGAGACTTGTTAATCCTTTCTTTGTTCCTTTATATGGTATAATGCAGCCAACACATTGAAGAAAGGGCTGTCTGGCTGCTGACTGTGCTGTACATGTTTTCTGGTGATGCAGAGGACTTGTTTGCTTGCCATGCTTCTAAGCTGACATCTTTCACTGAAACTGAAGCAGTAAGGAACTGGTTCCATTTACTTGTTGTTAGGGCTGTACTGTATAACAGCAGTTCTTGCTGGTTTGCCTGACAAAGCCTGGGGATTCACAAATAAACTGACCATTCATTGGTTAAAGCCTAAATCACACACACAAAGTTCGGAATTCTTGTAGAAATTCTTTTTTTGATAAGATTAAAATTTCACTTTAGAGGAGGGTAGAAATAGTTATTTTATTTTAAAATATAGTCAAGTGGCAGTAATAATTGCAGGCTTGACTCACCTGAAGTTACTTAACTTAAAGTAGGGTTGAATTTGGTCTAGTGAGGTTATCGTTTCAGTGTGAAAACTGTACCAATTTACTGTGAGCAATTTAAACTGCAGCACTGAGACTCAGTAATGAGGTAGAAAGGTATGAGCTTTATTGATGATGTCTGCAAGGCATAAGCATTCATTCTGCACTGGCTGCAGTCATATCTTAACATGAAATCAACTTATTGCAAAACCAGTCATGGATTATGTATGGGAACAGATCCTTCTTGGCTGTTGTAAACTCCAAGCCAGGAGCCTGGAGGATTTGTTCCCAAAACACTGTAAATGGAAGTTCAGATCTATTCACTAGAGTGATGCAAAATGCTTGCAAATTCAGAACTGTCATTTCAAGACAAGCACTGAATTCAGATGTTCACAAAAGGTTTTCTTATATACATAAACCTTGCAGATGGAGAAGGGCCCAGTTCTTTTTACATGGTCAAACCCAGAACACAGAAAACAGTAAGTAGGAGAGTGTGCATGGGATTTGTCATTGGTGAGGAAGGAACAATTCTTGTTTTGAGGACATGTACATTTATATTTCTGTCATTTGAGTGCTTGTTTGGTTGCTATTGGTAGTTTAAAAGTGTTATGGATGATTCCTTTGCATAATTTCTTAGGATAATGTATGTTGCGAATAGGATAGAAATCCTGTAGGTACAGGTACAAGAATTTTCATGACTTTGAGGAAACTTAATATGACATGCTTAAAAAGATACACAGTCAGCAACTAGGGGAGTAAACAAACATATATTCATAAGAGAGGAATTTGGGAGATTGTGTCCTTTTTCAGGCCAAAAAAGAGAAGATAATAATGTTTCTGATGCAGCAGTGGAAGTGGCCTGAAGAATGAAGGAAACAATGATGACTGGATGCTGAAGCTCTGGTATGTACATTATCCTTGAGTGGGCACCTGACAGAAGGTATTAAAGCAAGAGATTTTACTAGAAAGAACTTGTAGAAGGGGATATTGAAGAATAGAGATTCAGTTTAAGATTATTCTTGAGTTCAAGCGGCTTGTAGAAATGATGGAGGTCAGGAGAGAGGAGGCTCCACAGAGGGGTCAAGATTTGTAAACACTTGATAACCAGGATGGCTTTGAGGGCTGACTGCCATGTGAGGAGAATGATCCACAGAAGCCTGTGACCATGAAGATAATGCAAAGAAGATACAAGCTATGGAGAAGAAATACATCTGGGAAACAAGTTTGCTGTGGTGGAGAGTGTGAGGGAAGAGTGAGCAGCAAAAGAAAGTGAGACAGGAAAGAAGAAATGGGAAGCTAATTCCACAAGAAGAGAGGAAGAGATGATGGAGTCAAGAAGAAATAATGCTGCTGTACTGGAAAGTACAAAAGGTAGAATGATCTGCAAACAGAAAGAAGATTGGAAGGGAGAGCACCTGAGATTTAGGGCAGGAAAAGGTAGTTCTTTGTAGTTAGGATCTCCTTGTTGAAAAGAGCTGACAGATATGCCACCAGAGCAAACCCAAAAAATATGAAGAGTATACGGGGAGCAAGGGCATGAGATCCTCAAAAGGATTCTGATAGGACCAAGTTGAAAATACATGCATTAGTTCTCACATTTGGACAGATGATATTGTTAGATGACACTGGAACAGATCAAGAATAAGCACACCAAACTAGAAAAGATGTTAAAAAGAGTGGTAGCTCACCTAATGTCCCACTGAATTGTTTTAGTACCCAGAGAAGAAGGATGAATGCAAGATAAGGCAGTAAAAATCAACAGATGTCTCAAGGATCAGTAGTATGGGAAGGGTGTAGAGATGTTCAGTCATTTGGCGGTATTCATGCAAAGAGGACTCTTGTTGATGGATAAACTCTACTTTAGAATCAGGCTAGCACAACTGTTATGAGCTGTAAAATAAGAAATGAGGGGAAAGGGACTTGAGGGACTGGAGCCAGAGCAGAAGGTATGGGAGGGAAAGGCCAGCTGGGTGGGGTGGGGGGCGGCGTACATTGCACAGTCTCCCCTGCACTCCCTGGGAGCCACACATATGGGTCTCTTGTGTTATTCACCTCATACCCCATGTCTCCCCTGTGCCCCTCCTGCTGTGTGCCCCTCCCCTGCCAAATGAGCCTTCCCAGTGCTGGTCAGGTGATGGCTTGATCCAGCTTCAGCCCTGAGCTTGGTGTTGGGGCTGAGGCTGGAGCTGAGCTGCCACCTTCCGTGGGCTGGTAGTTGAGTCTAAAACCAGGCTTTTTCTCCACCATGATGACTGGAGAAAAACCTGGTCTTGCATTCAAGCAAATATAGTAATTTCTGTGTCTGGTTTTGATCCCCATGGTGCAGTTGTTACAAGTGATTTCATAGATTTCGTAGACATTAGGGCTGGAAGGGACTTCGGAAGATCACTGAGTCTAGCCCCCTGCCCCAGGGGCAAGAAGTCAGCTAAGGTAAAAGGTTCCCAGCAACATAGGTGTCCAAATGTTTCTTAAAATAGTCCATAGTAGGTGCTTGCACCACCTCTGAAGGGAGTCTATTCCAGGTCTTGGGGGCTTGGACAGTAAAGAAGTTTTTCCTTATGACCAGCCTAAAACAGTCTTGGAGGAGTTTGTGACCATTGAGCCTTGTCATCCCTTGGGGCGCTCTCTTGAACAGGCGTTCCCCCAGATCCTGATGCACACCCCTTATGTACTTATAGGCTGCCATCAAGTCACCTCTGAGCCTGTGATTTTCCAGACTGAAGAGTCCCATGGCTCTCAGCCTCTCTTCGTAAGGCCTGTTCTTTTGCCCTCTGATCATGCGTGTGGCTCTCCTCTGGACTCTCTCAAGCTTCTCCACATCCTTCTTGAATTCTGGAGCCCAGAATTAGATGCAGTTCTCCAGCTGAGGCCTCACCAAGGCTGAGTACATTTGGGAGGAAGACATCATGAGATTTACTTGAGAAGCATCTATGGATGCAAGCCAGAGTTCTGTTTGCTTTACCAGCTGTGACATGGCATTGGTGGCTCAAGTTCATCTTGTGGTCAATCATGACCCCCAAGTCTTTTTCAGCCGTGGTGCTAGTGAGCATTACTGCATGATGGCGCAGTACAGCCATTACTGCACCGTCCCAGGGGTGCATGGTTATTTTTCAGAGCTGCGTCGCCATAGCACTATACTATAATGAGGTAGTTCGTCACGGCTTGTAGCATAGTGTGGATGTGCCCAGGGAGAAGAAAATCACGCTAACAAGATATAACATTGCATAAAGAAATTTCAAAGGGAGAAGAGTGAACCCAAAGAGAAAGAAAGCACTGAGACTGATAGTAATTAGAAAGACAATACACTTAGGGAAAAGATTAACTTTATTCTGGCTGGGCAATTGAAGATAGTCAACCAAAATGTATGTATAGTGATGCAAGGATTCTGGGCAAAAAAAAAAGGAGGAACTAGAACTGGGCAAAAAAAAAAGGAGGAACCAGTTCAGGATGTGACACTTTTTGTTATACAGTGGTAGAAACCTGGTAGAACAGCAACCATGACTGAAACGCATCATATATTTATAAACAGCAGGAGTTCCTTATTTATTCACACATCTCAGTCACCTTTTCCCCAAGAATTAGCCTTCCAAAATTTGGTGTCTGTTAAGCAGGAAATCTGATTTTCTGCCCAAATCAAAGCATGGAGACTTTCATAGACATTAGGGCTGGAAGGGACCTCGGAAGATCATCGAGTCCAGCCCCCTGCCCAAAGGGCAGGAAGTCAGCTGGGGTCATAGGATCCCAGCAAGATAAGCATCCAGTTTGCTCTTGAAGGTGCTCAATGCAGGCACTTGAACCACCTCCGGTGGCAGGCTGTTCCAGACCTTGGGGGCTCGGACAGTAAAGAAATTCCTCCTTATGTCCAGCCTGAAACGGTCTTGCAGTAGTTTATGACCATGCGACCTAGTCATCATTCCTTGGGGCGCTCTGGTGAACAAACGTTCCCCCAGATACTGGTGGTCACCCCTGATAAACTTATAGGTGGCCATCAGATCACCCCTGAGCCTGCGCTTTCCCAGGCTAAAGAGCCCCAGGGCTCTCAGCCTGTCATCGTAGGGTCTGCTTCCCTGACCTCTGATCATGCGCGTGGCTCTTCTCTGGACTCTCTCAAGCTTCTCCACATCCTTTTTGCTAGGGCGGATTACAGGGGGAGAATGACGCCCCGGGTTTTGCTTGAGAAGCATCTATGGATGCAAGCCAGCGTTTT